ACCTGGGCCAGAGCACCATCCCTCGTGAGAGCATGAGACCCTCCCCCAGCGGCCAAAGCACACAGAACCTGCGAGGGTACCCTCGCCGGTATGCACACGAGCATCCAACACGCACGACGAACATGAGGGTGCCCTCCCCGGATCGACCTCGATCCTATACCTCCCTCCGACTGTAGCACGATGGCTGCACGGGCCCTCCAGGTCCCAGCCCCGCCACTCGGGTCCCCCAGAGCCGGGGGGGGGCGCCGCTCCGAGGGGGGCAGGGCGAGTTGAGGCCGCCCCCACAGCTGGCACTCCTGCTGGCCAGGTGCACTGAGCCAACAGTCGGGCAAGGCCCGCCGAAGCATGCTGGCCTCCACGCAGCTGGACCCCGTGCTGCACTTTCCGGGTCGTTGGCGAACGGCCTCAGCGTGCCACCCGGCGTCGAGGAAAGGAAGACGCCGCGAAGGCGTTGCAGCCCCACCCCCCCAGGCCTCGCGCGCGAGCTGCGCGAGGCGCCTCACCGCACTGAGGGCTCGTGGCGCTTGTGGCCGCTCCTGCTCGCGATGTCGTCCGAAGCCGTATCCTTCGCGCCACCCTCCAGCGCCTGCGCGGTGAAGAGCTCTCTGGTTAGGATGCAACTCCTGGAGGTTAACTTCAGCATCGGCGCAAGTATGCACATCCTTGGTCCAACACTGGCTTCATCTGGCACAGGATCCCGCCTGATCTGGCCTAGTCCCGCTCGATCCCCTGTAATCTGGCTCAGTCATGGTCTGAATCAATCAGGGCTTATCCGGCTCAGTGGCCCCTTGCTCGAGCTTTTGCTGGCCCTCCACCGCTCTCACGCAGACCTCCCCGGAGTTGCCTCGGCCCCCCCCCCCCTTCCCCAGGACTCCTCGGCCACTGCAGGCACCTGCACCCTCCCGCGCGAGCGCCCCTTCGCCCTGCCTGCGTCTCCGCGGCCTGCCGCCGACGCTCTGGCGCGCCCGCCTGCCGCTCCGGGCCCACAGCCCCGACGGGGCCACCGCCTGGAGCATTCGGGCGGCAGCGGCTGCCGCTTCCCCCGAGCCCTCCGGGCGCCCAGGTCTCCCGAGTGGGTTCCGAGCAGGTGGCGTCAGGGGATCGCGTCGCGTCCCCGATGCGTCGGCGGTGCGGCTCGATGTGGAGCCCGACGCTCTTCACGCCGACGTCGCCAGTGCATCGCGTTGCATTTCACCTGCTCGAACCCCCTCTGGGAGGCCATTGGAGGGGGGCGGCCGGTTCCAGCGCGCCGGTGGAGTCGGCGTCGGAGGAAGCCCGGATTGGAATCTGCGGGGCCATGGCCTCCAAGCCCAGCCGCTGCTGGTACTCGTCCCCGTGCTGGGGCTTTTCCGCCTCCGTGTCCGTGACGGCTCGCCCTCGACAGCACGCTTGATCTACTCTTCCGCCAGCCTGCTCTTGCCGCTGATGGTGGGGAGCCCCTCCTGCATGTCCGCTCTCGTGCCTTGCGCGTCGACGCTTGCCGTCGGAGCCCTCGGGTCTGCCCAGCTGGAGGCTGGCAATGTTGATGGGCCGCTCGCCCTTGAAGGCCTGCTCGATCCGCTCTGCATGCCGACCTGTGTCACTGCCGATGGCAAGCACTTTACCCGCGCCCCTCGCCATGTGCCCCTCGCCCCAGGAGATATCCTCGAACTGCTCCTCCGTGTGCCGATCTTCGCTGGTGGTGACAGGCTCCGCCTTGCCCACCCGTTGCTCGTCCTTCGCGATGGGCCATTCGCTCTCGCCGGCCTGCACTTCCGGAGTGGCCTGCCCCTCCGCCTCGGCTCCACGCGCCAGCCAGCAGGGCGGCGCGCGCCAGCCAGCCCTCTGGGCCAAAGCGGTGCCGCCTGGCGGGCGTGCGCGCCACCACGGGCCGCGAGCCGCGCTGCGGGGTGGCTCGGGCGCAACCGCCCCTGCCGAGGTGGCGACGCAGCCAGGCCCGCGCGGAGCCCGCCGCGGGCGCCAGGGCGGCGTGCCAGGGCCGCTCGCCCTGCGGCGCCCTGGCACGCGGGGCGCGCGGGCGCAGGCCGCAGGCCCCGCGCCCACGGCCCTGCACAGCAGGGCGCCGCGGCCCCCGCGGTTGTGGCGACATTCCTCGACTTTGCACCCTCCGCGCCTTCCGCGCAGGAGGTGCCGCCGCGATGCGGCCGCGGCGGCCGCTGCTGTGGCCTCGACAGTGGCCGCCCCTCGGCGACCGCGGCATTTGCCGCGGCGGCGCGGCACCTGCCGCGCGGAAAGTGCAGAAGGTGCAGGTGGAGGGATGGGCAGCAGCGCAGCAGCGGCTGTCGCGGGCCTGCGGGCGTCTTCGTCGCGCCCTCCTGTGCGCGCGACGAGGGGCCCATAGGGTCCGCCTTCTCCCGGGCGCGGCGCGTGCTGGGCCGCCACGCTGTGGGCGACCGTGGCCAGGCAAACCTTGGTGCCCTCCGCCGCCATCGCGAGTGCCGCGACTCTGAAGAGGAAGATGTGCCGATGCCGCTACCCGATCCTCGTCGCCACGGCTGGATTCGCCTCGAATCCCATTCAGAGCACCCTGGTAGAGGTCCACGGAGCAGAGATACTTGTATCTGCTTGTTTCCCCAGCGACGGGGAAAGAAGACAGAGCGCGTTGGGGAGGGGAGGAAGGTATCTGGTGCCTGGGGAGGGGGGGTCCGTGAAACCATCCACCACAAGTATGTAGTGTATTTGACTGCATGCTGCATGTGCTTGTGCCGGAGGCAAAGAATGAAGCGACATGAGGTGACAAGTTGACGCATGCCGGGCCAGGCGGATGAGTACGATGAAGAGCATCACGGATAGAAGCGGAGAAAGGAAGAGGGAGGAAGACGAGGAGGGAAAGGATGAGGCACAGGGGATATGAGGAGCATGCGCAGAATGGGCGGGGGGAGAGACAGGGACATGACGAGTAAGTGGAGGAGGAGGATGAGGAGGAGAGGTATGGCAGGGGAGAGAAGGGATGAGGAAGTTTCGAGGAGGATGAAGAGGAGGGTTGAGCAGGAGGCGGGCGGCGGGAGGAGGCGGAGGGAGAAGAGCAAGGACAAGCAGGAGCAAGCTCAAGCAGGAGCGTTAGCAGGAGATGCAGGAACACGACATCGAAGGGAGGGGATGGGGATGATGGAGGAAGGAGGAGGATATGGATGGATGGGACGGGATGGATCATACTATCGAGGAGGAGGGGGGGGTGGAAGAAAGGAACGAGGATGAGGATGAAGATGAGGAGGAGGAGGAGGAGGAACAGATGAAGGGAGAGAGGGACATCATAAACGCTTCGCGTATCCCCACCAGCCCATCCATAAACGACGTCCAGGCGAGTTGAGGTGATCAGGGAAGTGCGGGAGCAAAGAGGTGGACGGCCGAACCGTGCGAAGAAGGGAGGAGGATAAGGAGGAGGCTGGATGGATGGATGAGGGAGTGTGGACAAGGAGGATGAGTAGGAACATGGTGATGAGGAGGAAGAGAAGGAGTAGGAGGAGGAAGGAGGAGCAGGAGGAGGAGGACACGCACAAGTGCCAGAGGTCTCTTGGATGTCTTTCGGAGCCTCTTGGGATATCTCTTGGGCGCTTCTTGGAGGCCTCTTTAGACGTCGTGGGGGTCTCTCGGCGGTCCTGGGGGGCTCTTGGGCGTCTTGGGTGCCTCGGGGGGACCTCTTGGGGCCGCTTGGGGTCCTCTTGGGGGCATCCTGGGGACCTCTTCTGGCCATCTTGGAGCCATCTTGGGGCCATCTCGGGGCCTCTTGGAGCCTTCTTGGCGCCTCTTGGGGCCATCTTGGAGGAGATCGGTCAAACAAGGGTGGTTCCTTAAGTTGCCGCCCCCCTCGGGAGTCCCCAACATCACCTCTTAGGCCCTTCTTGGAGCGCTCTTGGGGCGCTCTTGGGCGCTCTTGGGGCCGTCTTGGGGCTCTCTCGGGCCTCTCTTGGGGCCCTCATTGGCCCTGTTGGAGTTGTCTGGAGGCCTCGGAAGGCCATCGGAAGCGAAAAGGCGAGCAAGCTCATTGATTTTCCCTTGGTGTTTGAAGGATTTTGGCTTCTTGGCGGCATCTTGGGGAGGTTCCGTGGCCGCTCGGACCCGTCTTGAAGCGGTCTTGGGGCCTCTTGGAGCATCTTGGGAACCATCTTGACGCATCTTGGGATATCTTGGGCAACATCGGAGGTCATCTTCGGTGGAAGAGGAAACGCCCTAAACCACCTACGCCCAGAGGGCTGGTGGGATTAGGAACCAGCAGGAGGAGGAGATGGAGGAATGAGAGGGGACGGATAATCAGATCGAGGATGACAAGTAACGTGGGACGAGGATTGCGGGGAGGAAGGAAAGTATCGGCCCCGACTCGAATACCTCGTCTACAACCTTTTCCATCTTGGATGGACGAGGGATGACGGGGGATGACGAGGAGCGAACGGAGATCGATTTAATGTGGCCACATTGGCCGCACCTGCCAGTTGTCTGACCACCTCCTAGCATTTGTTTTCAAAGTGCACGCGCCCGGCGATGAGGAGGCGGAGACGACACAAAAAGATGGGTAGGAGGAACAAACAACATAGGGGGAACGCCATTCTCACGTGAGAGTGACGGTCGAGAAGGGGAGGGAGGCGGATGAGGAGGAGGAGGGAAGGGGGGACGGGAAGGAGGTGGGAGGAGGAAGGAGGGAGTGGGAGGAAGGGGTGGTGGATCAGGGGAGTGGGAGGAGGCTGAAAAACAGAGGTTGGAGGAGGAGCGCGTGTTGTAGAACGGCGGACAAGGATGAGGCGGCTGCTGCTGCTGAGGAGGAGGAGGAGGAGGCGGCTGCGGAGGAGGAGGAGGAGGAGGAGGCGGCTGCGGATGACGATGATGATGATGATGATGATGATGATGATGATGATGATGATGATGATGATGATGATGATGATGATGATGATGATGATGATGATGATGATGATGATGATGATGATGATGATGATGATGATGATGATGATTGATGATGATGATGATGATGATGATGATGATGATGATGATGAGGAGGAGGAGGAGGAGGAGGAGGAGGAGGAGGAACGATCCTTCCTGAGCCCGCGGCGCGGTTGCTCGCCGCCTCTGTACTGAAATAGCGGAGGCGCGGGCGAGTTCGGCCGGACGGGCTCGGAGCGCCAGGCGCGCACTGCACTTGCCAGTGAAGGGGGAATCCAGCTTCCGAAGGCAGCGGCACCTGCTGCAGCCGCTGCCCATGGCACACACCCCTACCGCAGCATCTGCCCCTGCCTCTGCCTGGACAGCTAGCCGTGTGTATGTGTGTCTGTCTGTGTCTCGGGTCCGTCCTGGTCTCCGGGCGTCGCCCCGAAGGCAGCGGCACCTGCTGCAGCCGCTGCCCATGGCACACACCCCTACCGCAGCATCTGCCCCTGCCTCTGCCTGGACAGCTAGCCGTGTGTATGTGTGTCTGTCTGTGTCTCGGGTCCGTCCTGGTCTCCGGGCGTCGCCTCCTCTGCCTCCTCTGATGTGCGCCTCTGGGCCGTCCACGTGGACTTGGGCGCTGGCGCGTGTCGCACGGTACTCGCCTCTTTGCCGCCGCCTCGTGCTGCCCCCAAGCGGCTACCGGCGTCGATACATGTGCTTGGCCGTCGATTATTTGCTCTGCTTGCTCTGCACGCGCAGTCCTCTTCGCTTGTTCCCCATCGACACACGCCCGATGACAATCAGCTTAGCGTAATCCGGTGACGCCAACGCTGAGTTGGACCAGCCGGCCAAAAATCAAAAAGTGTGCCTGCCTTTCCCTGGCTCTTTCTGCGGGCAACCACGTCGGGCTGTAACCGGGACCTCCTAGTCTGTTCAGGATCCCGCGTAGCGATTGTTTTGGTGCGCTGGGCGCAACCCACACCTGCATTGCTCGAGATCCGCTGACTACCTTCACCAGCGCGACGTAGTACCAGGCAGAGTGTGTGTGGCGTGTGCGTGCCCTCGCTTAGCCTGACCTCGCACGCGTTTGCACACCGACTTGCCCAGCGGAGCCCACCCTCCGCAACGTCAGGACGCCAGGTGGACTCCACGCTCGGACGCTGCCCGTTCTCGGCTCCTCGCTGTCGTGACGTCGCTCGGCCGCCGGAGGACGACGTGTGCGCCCTCGCCGCCGCCTCCATGCTGCGGCAGCTGCTTCTCGTCTGCTGCCTCTCCCCGCGGTCCGCTGTGCCGCTCCGTGTTGCGGGCGCCGCCCCTGTCCGTCGCCCTCTGCGCTCCAGCACGCGCCTCCCGCCGGCCCCACGGGACAATCCGCCGCCGCGGCGCAGCGCGAGCGGCAGCCGACGCAGAAGGTCAGGGTGTGTGTGTGTGTGCGTGCGTGTGCGCGTGTGTTGCCATCCCGCCGGAGCAGTCGACCTCTGTCCAGCCGCCGACGCAAAAGTGTGTGTACTGTGTTTTGCCGATCGGTGGACCCGATTCGCCCCACGCTGCTGCGGACTGCCTATGCCTCGCCGCCGACGAAAACGTGTGTGTGTGTGTGTGTGCGTGTGTGCGCGTTCGTTTGTGTGTGTGTGTGTGTTTGTCTTATTGGTGCGTGCGTGTAGTTGTGTGTGTATCCTGCGGCGCTGCACGTGCATGCCAGTCGTGCACCGCTTTTGTTTCTGGATGTGCAGCCGCCTGCAGGTTCCCCCCACCCGCACACGTTCAGCCCAGTGCAACCCGCTAACGTCTTCGCCGAGTTGGACCAACCAGCCGCGAAGTGAAGAGCGTCTCCGCATTCGTTTGTGATTGTGTCTGTCGCTCTTTGTCTGTCTGCGTGTCCGTCTTCCCGTGTACGTCCTGTCTGACTTGCTGCTGCTGCTGCGTCTTCACTCTGCCCTCGGTCAGCCGTTGTGCTGGTAGTCTCATCGGAATAGGGCCAGTTGAAACATCGGTGTCTATCCCGCGCAGCCCGGATCCTTTCAAGAGCGGTTTCCGCACCCCTCATGGGGGTCCATGCTGTCCCCTTTCTTCGATGCGCATCCGGCCTCGGCGACGAGGCACCTCTGAGAAGGCCCAGCAAGGACGACAAACGCCAGGGAGGGCCGCCGTTGTCTCGACTCGCCCTCCTCCGATCTTTGCGGCGCCTCTGAAGCAGGCGCCTCTCTCCGGGCCCCGCGGCGGACCCGATGACTTCGTCCCGGTCGAGGAGCACTAACCCCGCGGCTTCGCGGGAAACATTCGCGTGCGATCGCTGACCTGCCCCCCTGTCTCGTTGTCGCTGCTGCCGCGTTCTCCGCCCCCTCGTCTTGGTCACATCGGAGCTGGGCCCATCGAAACAACGCCCAAGGTTGCTCGTCCTTGTTGGTGCCTGCAGGAGTCTTCTCGTCGCCACCTTAGCGTGGATCCCAGGAGGAGTCAGGGGACAGATTATGAACGGCTCTTTGCCGGGCAGGAGAAGCGCCGCTGTTTGGATCGGGTTGACCCCAGAAGGGGGTCCAGCGACAAGGGGGTGGTGCACTTGATTTGGTGCAATAGATGTGTGAGGCTGCAATGCATGCGGGGCGTGCAATACACTCCGGGGCGCAGATGTATAGCAGGATTTCTTCGCGTGCAATACATTACTTGCAATACAATGCAACGCAATTCGCCCGCGCAATACATTTGCAATCCAATTGCCAATCTATTGCACCACCCCCTTTCAGCTGGCCGCGGTGGTCGTGTTGTCGTTCTCCGTCCGAGGCCCTGGGACCCTGCTGGCCCTCTTGAGCTCCCTGCATGAGGAAAAACAAAGAAAAAAACCTTTCAGCTGAACCCCCGTTTGGATCGCCCGAACTGGAGCATCTCTCGGGCTCGGTTGGGGCTCGCTCCTCCCTAGGTCCTTCCCTGGCTGCCCCTCTGGCGCGGGGCGCGTCGACAGAACCGCTCGGGGGGCAGAGGCGATCCCGAGGGAAGCCTCAAGTCGGGCCTGTTCCTCTATAGGGGGAATCTTCAAAACTAGTCAAAACATGGTCTGGGGACGAGACTTTTTTTGTCATCCTTGACCATTTTCGAGCATGTGTTTGATATCTTTCATTTTTTGTCCAAAATCCCCCCGTAGGGGGACACGCCCGACCTAATGGTAATGGGGGGTGGCGGGGGAGGGCTCGCCTGGCGCGTCGCCGAGTGCCAAGACGACCGCTGTTGGCTGACCGAGGGGGCCCGTCGCGCCACCAGCCTCTATAGGCCTCCTGGATGGGGCCCGAAAGGATAGGGGTCGGAGGGTCGTGCTGCATAGCCGATGCATCGGCGATGCGGCCCGATGTGGGGCCCACTTTTTCCCACGCCGGCGTCGCCGATGCATGGCCGACGTCGCCCGTGCACCGCCGACGCATCGGCGATGCGGCGAGAGCCTCCGGCCACGAGAGGAGGAGGAGGAGGAGGAGGAGGAGGAGGAGGAGGAGGAGGAGGAGGAGGTGGATCGGGAGGAGGAGGAGGAGGAGGTGGATCGGGAGGAGGAGGAGGAGGAGGAGGAGGAGGAGGAGGACGAGGAGGAGGAGGAGGAGGAGGAGGAGGAGGAGGACCCCCTCTCGGAGGCCCTATAGTCGTCGGGGCAGGCTCCCAGGGCTGCCCGTGCCTCCCTGCGGGGGCGCCGTTTTTTTATGCTCAGACGTGAGGGCACGTCGCGTGGCAACAGCAGCCGTGCGGGAGGCTGTCGCCCTGTTCGGCGTCTGGGGGGCCGCCCACTCAGGGCTCGTTTCGATTCCTCCGATTCGATTCGATTCGATTTCGATGGCTTCTGATTCCGATTCGATTCGACTTTGGATTCCGATTTGGATTCCGATTTCTCAATGAGGCACTACTACTCTGCCGATTTCCGCCGATTCGACTCCTCCCGACTTGGCTGCCGATTTCCGCCGATCCGATTCATTTCGATCGCCGATCCGACTTGTCGATCCGATTTTGGGCTCTCCTGCCCACCGGCCCCGGGACCGTCAAATCACAATTCAGGATGAAGAACCGGCCCCAGGGAACCCTCTGTTGGGACTTCCAGGGGCCGCGTTTTCAAACAGCCAGAACGTCGCATGTCTGGTGGGCTCAGTACTTACATAGCATGTCGCCCCCTCCCTCCCCTCCCTCCCCCACCGCTTCTCCGACTCCTTGTCACGCAGTGCTGGGCCGAAGCGGTGTGTAAGTGAGTCCCGACCTGCGTGAAGTCCAGATTTCGGTTAGGGCCTCGCCACGCCCCCGGCCTTCCCCCCTTCATGCACGTAATTCTTTCTGCCAGAGTCTAAAGAAAATGACTTGCAACAAGGGGTCCATTCCGATCTGGCCGATCCGATTCGACATCAACTCGGGCAGGTCCGATCTGAGTCGATGCCAGTATTCCGATCGAGCCGATGCGGCCCGATGTTTGCAGGGCGTTGTTGTGCAGCTTGGCGCGGCCGATCCGATTCGGTTCCGACCCCGTGCCGATGCAGCCAGGATCGATGCATGCTGGGAACCGATCTGCCAATCTGATGTTGGCTGGTCCGGCCAGTTCCCCCCAGGGATCCTGGAACGCGCAGGCTCAGCATGGATCGGAAGCTTTCGATGCAACTCCAGGGAGGTTTACTTCAGCATCGGCGCTGGTGTAATTACCCTCCGTCGACATCTGGCCTATTCTGACGCAGTCTCGCTTAGTACGGCGCACTTCTACCCATTGCAGCCGAATCCCCCGCTTCCTCCAATACATTTTGGCTCAATGGCACCTTCATCGGGCGCAGTGGCCCTGGATTGCTCTTACGAGGGTCTCCCAGGGACTCGGCTCCTAAGGCAGCGCGCGCCTGGGTGGTGGGCCGGGAGCGAGGCCTCGCCCGAGCGAGGCCCTGCGCAGTAGCAGAGGGCCTGCATGCCGGCACACTGCGCGCATTCGCCCCGGCCGAGGGCAGGACTCACTGCGGGCAGTTGTGCCTCGGGGGCGGCAGAGGGGGGGAGATGACCAGGGGTGGGTGATGACCAGGGGGGGGGGGTAGCATGGCGTGAGCCATGATATTTCCCCAGACTTCATGGCGCCTCTTATTTCATGGCGTCCCCAGCCCCTCCCCCCTGGGCCACGCACATGCCGCCGGTCATGATTTGCACCCCCTCCTCTTGGACGCCCCCCTCTTGGCCGTCCCCGACAGTTGTGTATCGCCCTCGTGCGGGAACATGTTCTGGCGGGTGGTCATGGCACCTCTCTCCGGATGCAGTTCCTGGGAGGTCAATTTCAGCATCGTCGCTGGCATATCGTAGATCCGTGCTCGAAAAGTTCCAGCATCGGCGCTGGGATATTGGTCGGGAAAAAGGCCTGATCATATTTGATCCCGCTTGATCTTTGTTCATCGGCCGTATTTCTGGTATTAATTTGGGCCCATGCGCCTCAGTGGCCCTTTCCCATCAGGCTGCATAGCCCTTAACCGTGCTTAGGAAGACCTCCCAACATTTGCCTCCTAACCTCTCGCCTTTGTCTCGGCCCTGCCTGGGTCGCGGGGGAGGCTGGCTCGGTTCACCAGCCCCTTGCTCAGGAGCCAGCCTGGCCCGTCGAAGGCTGTAGCTCGTCTGCAGCAGGCCACCCCGAAGGCCGACCCGGGCCTCTCAGCTTACAATCAAGAAGCTGTTCGGGTTCGGAAGGGGCTCGCTGTTCCTTAGAATCGTCGACGGTTGCTCCTTGAGCGCTCCTCGTGCACCCAGGCGCTCTCGGGGCCGAACAAGGGCTCCGTCCCTTCCTCAACCTCTCAACCTTCCTGACGGTCCCGGCTTCACCGCACCGCGTTCTCGATCGCAGCCCCCGTTGTGCACACTGCCCCGGTGCTCGCGGCCCCTGCGGCTGCTTCCAAGAGGGCCCCCTGGCGCGGCTTCTCTCGGCCAAAACCCCGCCAGTGTTGCGCTACGGCCCATCGGGGCCGTAGCGCATGCACACCATGCAAAAGCCCACGCCAGACGTCCTGGTATACGCAACAACCCGTGGGGCCGTAGGTGGGGTGGTGCCGTTTGGTGTTTGGCCCATTCTTCGAGTTGCCCTTGGGCAGCCCTGCGGCCTCTCCCCCACGCTGCGTGGAGCGCACCCCGCCTTGCCGCGTCAAGCTGTCCGCTCGGCCCCACCGCGTGTGCACGGCGCGCGGCACGAGGCAGAGCCCACGACCTCCTGCACGAGAGCGTGCCCTGCCCCGCGCCCTCGCCCAGACGCGCTGGTGGAGGCCACTCGTGCTGCTGCGCGGGGGGGACAGAACTGGAGGGCTTCTCCGAAGGGCTTAGGCGACCCGTCCTCCTCCTCCTCCTCCTGATTCCCCCTCCCCCTCCTCCTCCACCTCCTCCTCCCCCTCCCCCTCCTCCTCCTCCTCCTCCTCCTCCTCCTCCTCCTCCTCCTCCTCCTCGGGTCGCCTACGGCCCCGGGAAAGCCGTGCAGGCAGAACTGCTGGGGCCGACCCCGTGCCCCATCCGCAGGGGGCCAACAAGAAACGTGCTGCCCAGCCGTGCGCGGGCACGGCGCGAGTCAGGCCGAGGGGCCTCAGGCTTGCGACGTCAATTTGCGCGCTCCCCTCGGAGAGAGAGAGAGAGAGAGAGAGAGGGGCACAGCACAGGCACGCGTGTGGAGAGGCAGAACAAGACACAGCCTCTCGGACAGACCAAGAAGACATCCGGAGTGGTGCACGCTCTCGCTGCGCGAGGCCGGGCACCCTGCGCCGCGAGGCCGCCGCGCCGACGCCCGCTCTGTGACGCAGCTCCGGCGCCTCGGCTCAGGCCTGCAGGCTCGGACCCGTATCTTGTATCTAACGAAGCACTGACCCATGCCGCGCTGCCGCGCCCACGTCCGCCAGGGAAGCGCTCCGAGGAGGGCTGGGTCTTTCGGTCGCAAGTCATGGGAGCCTCGAGTACCATCGCAATTCCGTCTTCAGAGTGCACCGGCGTCGATCAGCGTCGGGTAGCGCCGAATAGCGTCAGTTCGCGTCGACTGGCGTCGATTTAGCGTCGACTAGCGTCGACTAGCGGTGGTATGGGAGGCCCCCATGAGTTGCCACATGAGCTGGTGCTGGAGGGTTCGGCATCAACTCATGGGATCCCTCTGTACGTTTCTGGGGCCCCCCGACGGTGTGGTGACCACGCCGCGTGGTGAGTCGGTGGGGCTTCGGGGCCACCGCACGATTTTGGGACGCGGGTCGTGCTTCGAGGACGTCTCGGGCGACAGGGGGCCTCCGAGGTCCCAAAACCGTGCGGTGACGGACCTCGCGGTGAGG